TCCTCTGGAAATAAAAACAAAGGATGCCTGATGAGCCAAGACAAAGAACTATATATAGAGATTAAGTGACCAGAGTAGCAAACTCAAATCATGTCCTTCCTTAACCAGATTAAAGGGAGTTTTGGGTCTGCACCTACCTCCTTCCCATGCTCTCCAGATTAAAAAGACACTATTTCTAATTGCCTTTTTCCTGAATTTTGAAAGCTGAGTAGCAACTATAACAAGCTACAATTCAGCTAATAAATCTTTGGTGATCTTAATCTCTTTCTATAATAATAGGAAGACTGCAGCTTTGTTTACTTTCTGAGGAGAATACAGAACAGGGAGAAAATACTAGAATAGGAAGGCAATATTTATCGCCTCTTTATGAAAAGTCAATCTGGGACAAAAAATATTTGAAGACAATAAAAAAGGGGAACAGGTTTGACATGAAAATAGCCTATTCCAGTTTTCTGTGAAGGGCTTGAACTGGTATCTTCCACCCTCATCCAAATGAAATGCTTTGCATACAGTGTGAAAATAGGCATTCCTTATAGAAAAATCTGGATTAGATAAAAATTCAAAAACATCTTTCTGTGTCTGCCATGATTGACAGTATTCTATTATTTATTTCATTTTATAATGTATTTATAAGCATTTATGAAGTCTCAGGTCCTTTCTTTAATTGGATTTCTAATCCTGAGGCTTATCCTAAAGGCTTCTGGCCACACAGGCTCTGTATTAAATGAGTATAATAAATACCCTGGGTTCACCCTATTATAAAGGAAGAAGGCAAATATACATCCTTAACTTTTCAAAGGGATGATGTCATAGATGATATCCATGGTCTTCTATAGTCCATGTAGTAGGCCTTCTGGTTATGGAGAGAATCATACAATAAACAGACTATGGAGTTACTCCCAAAATACATTCTCATGCTCTATATTATTTTATCTCACTATTTTTCCTCAGTTAATGTATTTTATTCCATTGTCCATATTTGCTGCCCATGTGTTCACATCAGGGTAGATTTCCTGTGTAAGTCCTCAGAGAACAGATAGTGTGGCTTGCTGTTTTCTTTGTACCTGATATGATGGCACACATAAAAAGGTAGTAGTCTACACTATGGGATTTAACAAGCATCCCTAAGGATGCTTCCTGAATACCTACTTTGCTGATATATCATGGTGCTACTCTTCTTTCTTATTTTTTCTAATGTGTGTCAGCACTAGTGCTACCTCCTTAAGACTTAGGCAGAAATGCTAACTTCAGAAAGGTACTGTTTAAACATCATCAGTATGCAAAAAGGATGATGTAAGTCCTCCCAAGTTAACACAATGACAAATTGTTTTATGAGACTAGCTCCTTGCCTCTTGAAAAAATCAGGTCCCTAAATATTAAGGATTGGCTGGCAGGATGGCCTGGGTAAGACTGAGAGAGGACTGTGCTTGCTTGAGGTTGATCAAGGTGATAAGCTTCCCAGGGCAGGAAGATGAGATGTTAGAGAGATCCTAAAATGAATGAGCAAAGGAAATAAATCACCTGACTTTCCTATTTTGACTATAACTTGCTCTGTACTTAATAATATTTTTATTAAAATGAGGAAGGACATTATTTTAATCTCTAGTCACATTTTATTCACTATTAGCTGAATTACTGCACCTTCAATCATGCAAATTCTGAACCAAGGGATCCCTGATCTCATTCCTTCCTTGCAATACTCCCTTGTCCCTTCACCACTGTGCATTTCTCATAGTGTTATCCAAAAGCAAAATAAAAATCTTTGATAGAGTACAAGATAGAGGGATTCTGATCAGTTGAAAAGCACTCTGATATGCATTTTACTTGGCTTTTTCCACTCTTGCAAAGGAAAAAACATTAGAGAAAAAGAACAGAGTAAAGAAAATAACCATTCACAGAATTGTGATTGATGAAATCTGGAAAGACACTAATGGTGATTAAGTCAGTTTAACTCCCAGTTTTTAAGTAAGGACACTGAAAACTGAAAGGATAAATGGCATACACTGTGTAACCAGTTAATACAAGAGCTAAGTTTAGAACCTAATTTTCCAACTCTCACAATAATGTTCTTTTTTTCATTTTCTATGCTTCTCAAATCCCCCAGCCCATCCTCCCATCTCACACCTGAGTTTAACCAGTACACTATGCAATCTGTGTACCTTGCATAGAATCTAACTATGTTCTACAAATGGAGTGCACAGCAAGGATTAGACTGCTATATTATGCTCATTACAGAACTACACACTACTGGAAGAAACCCAACACTTTGAGAAGACCAAACAACTAGACAATATGAAGTCACTCACGTGATAAGAGGAGTCTTTGCCTTATGAAAAGATTCCCCACCGTCGCTTTTTTTTATTCATTTTAATGAGAAAAAAAATAAAAGAGCAATGAAACAGTTTCAAAACACGTTAGTAGTACAGTTACAATAATTGGTACATTGCATATTTTTGTCTTTGTAGTAGTTATTCAGAAGACAAGATGCAGACATTATCTCTTGTCTAAAACAATATTAGTGCAAACCTTTCTTCTCAATGAATGAACTAAAAGAAACAGCTGTATATCTATCTTATCATATACATTTATCATATACATAAACAGTCCTTTCTTTGTTTCCCCCTTTTTTGTTATATTTTGTCAGAAATGGGTGTTCTACTAAAGTTAGAGAAGATGTATTTGAAGAAGTCTTTAAAGGACCTTTTCATACTTGATGCCAGACCAAAGATTGTAGGTACTTGAATTCAGCCTGTCATTTTGGTCTTCTAAATGTGTACTGTTTCTAACATCATATCAATTATTGCTATACTCTCTTTAAAGTAAATGTTGGTAAAAAAAAAAAAGTATTAAAAGTAAATGAGAGACAAGAAAAATAAAATGTCATAGGATTGTCCTGCTACAAGGTTGTGTATGATTTGATTTCTAAATTTCTGTATAAAAAACATGTAATTGTTTTTTAATGTTCTATAGGGATTTAAATTTTAGAATATCCATTGTTGTTGGAAAATAGCAATTCCATTTTATGTCTAAGGTGTTTGACATTCAAACAGAGAGTGGTGCTAAGCTTAACAGCCTCTGTTACAGGGTAATAATATCATTAAGCTTCTCTTCTGGATGTTTAACAACTGAAGCTTGCAAGCCAAAAATTAGAGAGATTGATGGGCTAAAAAGATAGCCAATATCAGGGCCGGGGAGATAGCTCAGTAGAAGAAGTGCTTGCCTGGCAAGTACCAGGGCCTGAGTTCAATCCCCAGTTCCCCCCCCCAAAAAAAAGATAGCCAATATTTTGGTCCTATCCCTTCAAAGTCAATGGGGACTCAGGACACTAGAAAACCTGGCTGTGGCATCCTGTAACTAAGTGGTGTCCGAAATTTTCTGATCAAAGAGATTATTGGGTCACACAGGAAAATGATCAACAATGTATAATGTCCAAGGAGAGTCACCTAGAGAAAAAATTTCTCTCAGGCTTTCATAGGAAGCAAATTGGTCAAGTACTGGCTGTGACTCATCCACATGGCTGACACTGACAAAAGATCTACAAGGTGCTGTACGTGGTTCCAGGGTAATCCTGAGGGGATTTGAATGACCTTGTCAGATAGCAAAAGTTACATTTTTAGTTATATAGGTCTTGCTTTCACTTGGTCTTAACCATTCAGCAGAAAAGTGTAACCATGAGATATTAAAAGTAAAGCTATATTAATATGTTGAGCTGTGAAAGGCTCTAGTCAACAACTTTGTATAATTGCCAGTTGTGCTGATAATTGACTACTATTATGGATTATTGGACTATAAAGGGTTAGTTTGCTGAATTCAAGTACCCACTGTCTCTTAAAAAGGAATCCCCAGGTAGGATTATAATACAATTATTTTATTTTAATAATGAATAGTTGTATTTATCTGTCATACAGGTTACTTTAGAACTAGAATATGAAGCTCTAAATAGAAACAAAAATATTTTTGTTCAATTACCACCCATTAGGAATCTTGTTATATTTTATCTGACCCTGTTTAGACTTTGAGGCCTACCATCAATTCTTCAAATTCAACTCTAGATTAAATGATGTGGCCTGAGTTCCAGGCATGCTCTTGAGAAAGAGGAATTATTCATTTACTTTCTTTTCTCTTCTTTCTCCAGTATTGGGGATTCAACTCAGGGTGTTCATAATTAGATACATCCCAGCAGGTTTTTTTTCTTTTTGGGGGGCAGGGTCTCACTGTTTTTCTAAACTGCTCAGGCTAGAATTGAACTTCTCATCTTCTTATTTCAACTTCCCAAAAGGCTAGGATTACACAGGTATGTACTACCAAGCTCAGATACTACCTTTATTTCATTATGTCCAGTTAAAAAGAGGTCAAGTCCTTTTCTAAGCTCTACTCCAAAATTTAATATAGGTAACAATTTTGTAAAGTTTTGTACATTTGGAGCACTTTTCAATTAACAGACAACTTTAACATACACATTATTTATTGTTGATAAGAATAAGTGGAAAGTCAATGAGTGAGGACCAGGTAGGGAATGTGATATATAGATTGAACCAAAGGCAGGGGATGAGGGAGAAGAAACTAGCAAAGAGAACCAATCCTAATTATTTTGTTACAGAACAGTATTGCACTGAATGAACCTCACCCTACCCCCAAGGACTCTGGATTCCTAACTTGCCTATGGTACCCCAGTAATATATTTAAGGAGTAACACCCAGTTTCATAAAGAAGAAGCACATATTATGTCTTACTAACATACTGCCCACTGGTTGGAAAGGAAAAGGGGTGGCCCCTCAGGTTACCATCCTCTCAGTCCACCTTTGTTGCCTATTTTGTAAAAATATACATATACGTCACTTTTCTTAAAACAAGCATCCTGGAAGAACAAGACTTCCTAGTACTACCATTTAGTTCTTCACTCCACAGGATTGAAATACACTCTGCCAAAACTGAAGTTCCCCCAAACAACTGCCTGGTCCAGGTCTTCTAAAAGAATTGCAAATGTTTCTGTTACATACCTCAACCTGCTGGCAGATCTGTATTAGTTTGGCCATTTGATTTTCTAGTTCACTGTTGCGCTTAACCAGGTTGGTGAGGTTCATCTCCAGGGTTTGCTGTCATCGCAAATTATGAAGCCAGAGGGAAACAGGGAAGAAGGAGGAGAAAACAATGAGCTTGAGAACCAATTACCATGTGGAGTTTAGTCAGCCAGTAGACAAATATTTCAGAGATTCACTGAACACCTGCTCTAGGCAAAGCACTATTCTAGCTGCTCGTTAATAATATATATCTGCTCTAGCAGATTGTCACTGCTGAGGGAAAGATGACATTTATAGTTTTGTGAGTGATTGCAGGAACTCATTGACACTAAAGCAACCTGATGTTTTTAACTTTTCAAAGTATTTCATAGTCAATATCTCATTCACTCCTCATAATACTATGAACAGATGAGCAGACCCCAAACCTGTAATTTATTGGATTACTGTTTGCCAGACACTATGTCAAAATTTTCGTATATACCAATTAACAATCATAAAAATCCCACAAATAAATGCCAGCATTTTACTGGTAAAAGAACGTTAGACTGAGGGTAAAGTGTTTTGCAGTCATACAACTAGAATATAACAAACCTAAGACTGGAATCTAGTTTCAAGCTCACAGTCATGGTTTTGATTTAGTACTCTACAATTTTTATTGTTCATGTCATTATATATTTATCAGTAGACTCCTTCAGCATAAAAAAGTATTCTGCATGTGGAATTTATCAAAATCAAGTATCATATTTCACAGCTTTCCTTCTTTGACACTGAGACATTGCACATGGAGATGTCAGGCTTTGAACACAAAGCCTGACTGTATCAACAAAGGTCACTCATTGCTTACCCTCCCTTACTGTTACATATTAAAAGCCCTTTGCAGATTATTGCCTACAACTTGGTTATAATAGTACTCAGAACTGTAGCACATTTTCAGTTGAGCAAGCTATTGTCATTTTTATGTAAATAAAATGTTATATCACTCTAGACTGACCACAGATCTTTTTATTTTTCCTATCCCCAAGTCTTCAGCTTTGAAGGATACTTCTCCTCCAGGACCTGTGTCCATATCTACTACTTTCTCACCCATCATCCCAAACCTTCACAAAATCTATTCCAAATGTACTACCCAACCTAATAGTCCTTATTCTGCTAACATTCCTTCCTTCAGTCATATGTGTTGCTTCATCACTGTCTCTATGCCTCCTGTCATTTGTAGTTGTTCAAAGATCACTCTTTTGGAAGAGAAGATGAGAAGGGCAAAGAGGATGAGGGGATATGAACAAAAGGATGTGGTATTTTTATACAATGGAGTATTCCTCAGCTATAAAAAATGGTAAACTTGAAGCCTTTATATTTAAGTGGATATCACTCGAAGATACATTCATAAGTGAAATAAACCAGACCCACATGTGTAAATATCATATAGTCTCCCTAATGCAAGAATTCAAAAGAATAAATAAAAATTGAAAGGTGTAACACAATTAAAAGGAAAGCAAGAACTTAAGGATTAAACAACAAAAAGAGGGCAAGGAGAAAAGCTAGGAAACATGACAGGGGCAAAGCCATACAATTATATGCACAAGATGGCTAAGGCAATGATCCTGAGAATCTCCAGCAGGTTTTTGAAACTAGCAGTTAAATGATAGGATTTTCACCCTGACTAACTATATATGCTGATACCTGTGAACTAAGCAACTGCACTGAAGATAGCAATGTGTATTACTAGGGTCATGCTTGGAATGCCTGTCATTCTGGTCTTCTAAATACGTACTGCTTGTCTTCTCATACCAATTATTGCCATACTGTCTCTCAAGTAAATGTTTGTTTTTTTAAAAAGGGTAATAAATGAAAATAAACGACAAGAAAAAAATATCATAGGACTATCTTGCTACAATGTTGTATATGGTTAGATTTCTAAATTTCTGTGTAAAAATATGTAATTGTTTATTCCTATTTATTTTTTTCTTTTTTCTTCACATTCTATAGGGATTTAAAGTTTAACATAGCAATACTTGATGGAACATACCTATTCCATGTTATGTCTAAGATGTTGATATTCAGGCAGATAGTAAGGTTAAGCTCAACTGCCTACGTTGTAGGGTAATAAGATCATTAAGTTTTTCTTCTGGAGGATTAACAACTGAAGTTTTCAGGCCAAAAATTAGAGAAAAGAAGGGCTGCGTGGACAGCCAACATTTTGGCCTTAGCCTTTCAAGGTCAGTGAGGATTCAAGACATAGGAGAACCTGTATTGTAACATCCTATAACTCAGTTGTGTTCCAAGTTTTCTGATCAAGGAGATTATGGGGCCAAAGAGGAAAGTGATTGATGATGTAGAGTGTGCCAAAGGAGAGTCACATGCAGAAAAAACATTCTCTAAGGCTTTCACAGAGAGCGAATTGGTCAAGCAATGGCCATGACTCATCCAGATGGCTGACACTCACAAAGGACCTACAAACTGCGGTGCAGGGTTTCAGGGTTAATCCTGAGGGGATTTGACTGACCTTGTCACATAAAAAAGTTACATTTCTTGTTATATAGGTCTTGCTTTAACTTGGTCTTAATCATCCAGCAGAAAAGTATAAAAACAAGGTATTAAAAGTGGAGCCATGTTAACATGCTGAGCTATAAAAGGCTCCAGTCAACAACTTCTGACATTACCAGTCTTACAGGTAACCCACTACTATTATGGACTACTGGACTATATTGGATTATTTTGCTGAATTCATATACCTACAATGTTTATTTTTATTTTATTTTATTTTATTTTCAAAGTTTTATTGATAAACAAATAGCAATGAGACAGTTTCAAATCAAATCGGAAGTACAGTTTCAA